AGAAAACGCAGTGAAAACGTCAATTGATATTAAATCGACATTATTCTGAAATTTGACATCCTTTGGACATAACATGACTAAACAAACATGCTTTGAACAGTATTTGTCAGTTGCGTAAATTAGTGCGATAGTTTAATTTTGCAAACAAATTTGGGATATTCCTTCAGCTAAATTTCGAAAAGGTAGATTTAACAAAGGTCAATTAATGGGCAATTAGGTCACTAGTTTTCAGCTTGCACAAGTCATTCAAAGACAGTGAATACAAGATCACAGACACATAGGGGCAAGGAAGAAAGCGGCAAATTGTCACCAAGTTAGTAACATTACCTCAAAAGTGCTCAAAGCAGTACCGATAGTATAAACATTTCACAAGCTGTATAGCATCTTTTTCTCTTTTTTTTTTGCATCAGGTGAACGCATTAAATTCTGACCAAACAATGGAATTAAAAAAATACTTTATTTTATTTATCTGCATGCATTTATTTTTTTAATAAATCAATGAAATAACTGTACAAAGTCATTATTAGTATTATTTCCTCGAATTTGTTTGATAAATGCTAGCCCGTCTTCAAAAGATTTATTGCAGAAATTTTTTTCTAATTGATATACTTTTTTACTTAACTGTCACAGTAAATAAAATTCTGTTTAAAAATCAGACAATGAATGACATTTAAAAATTGATACTAAAATTAATTTATTTCACATTTTGAGTCTCTGTCCATTGAGTCCCAAGGTTAATCAAAATCACAATAAAGAGCAAAGTCTGAACAACTCTCGGACATTTCTGCAGAGATTGAAGCAAGAAGGTGACCTCTTTCTTTCTCTCTTTATCATTACAACAAAAAACTTGTTATGGTTACATGATCCACAGACATTAAATTTTAACACTCAAAAGTACTTAACTACTTTCAAAGACAATGATGCTGGTGATATTTTTATTTATTTTGTGAAGTCATGAACACCATTTGTTGTGTACTCATTCTCATTTGTAATTTTACAGAATTACTATTTGCAAATAATGTTGTGACTTTCACTGTATATAAAGGACATAATCCAATATTAAATTTGTATCTTGTAAAATTGTGTACACAAATTAAAAGATGTGAACAGTAGCACCTCCAGTCCAAACTTTTTTAACATACCTCATATGACTCCAGGTTCAGTGGCAGACAACCAACACTTCTACTTAAAGAAAATTGGGATAAATAATAATTGACCTAAAACAGATATATACCTGGTAAACAATAGGTTCATATTGACTATTAACTATAGAAGTATGATTAAACAAAGATTTAAAATATTATAGCTTTAAATCATCTTAAAATCTATAATTGAGAACAAAGTACTTATATCAAGTGCTTAAAAGTATAATTTCAATGAGAAGCAGGCACCACAGTAGCACTGCCTGCATTCTGTAAGCTAGCAGGTAGTTTGACAGTGAGAAGCAGGCACTACAGTAGCACTGCCTGCATTCTGTAAGCTAGCAGGTAGCTTGACAGTGAGAAGCAGGCACCACAGCGCTGCCTGCATTCTGTAAGCTAGCAGGTTGTTTGACAGTGAGAAGCAGGCACTACAGTAGCGCTGCCTGCATTCTATAAGCTAGCAGGTAGTTTGACAGTGAGAAGCAGGCACCACAGTAGCACTGCCTGCATTCTGTAAGCTAGCACGTAGTGTGACAGTGAGTAGCAGGCACCACAGTAGCGCTGCCTGCATTCTGTAAGCTAGCAGGTAGTTTGACAGTGAGAAGCAGGCACTACAGTAGCACTGCCTGCATTCTATAAGCTAGCAGGGAGTTTGACAGTGAGAAGCAGGCACCACAGTAGCGCTACACTGCCTGCATTATGTAAGCTAGCAGGGAGTTTGACAGTGAGAAGCAGGCACCACAGTAGCGCTACACTGCCTGCATTTCTATAAGCTAGCAGGTTGTTTGACAGTGAGAAGCAGGCACTACAGTAGCGCTGCCTGCATTCTGTAAGCTAGCAGGTAGTTTGACAGTGAGAAGCAGGCACCACAGTAGCACTGCCTGCATTCTGTAAGCTAGCAGGTAGTTTGACAGTGAGAAGCAGGCACCACAGTAGCGCTGCCTGCATTCTGTAAGCTAGCAGGTAGTTTGACAGTGAGAAGCAGGCACCACAGTAGCGCTACACTGCCTGCATTCTGTAAGCTAGCAGGTTGTTTGACAGTGAGAAGCAGGCACCACAGTAGCGCTACACTGCCTGCATTCTATAAGCTAGCAGGTAGTTTGACAGTGAGAAGCAGGCACCACAGTAGCGCTGCCTGCATTCTATAAGCTAGCAGGTAGTTTGACAGTGATAACCAGGCACCACAGTAGCGCTGCCTGCATTCTGTAAGCTAGCAGGGAGTTTGACAGTGAGAAGCAGGCACCACAGTAGCACTGCCTGCATTCTGTAAGCTAGCAGGGAGTTTTGACAGTGATAACCAGGCACCACAGTAGTGCTGCCTGCATTCTGTAAGCTAGCAGGTAGTTTGACAGTGAGAAGCAGGCACCACAGTAGCACTGCCTGCATTCTGTAAGCTAGCAGGGAGTTTGACAGTGAGAAGCAAGGCACCACAGTAGCACTGCCTGCATTCTGTAAGCTAGCAGGTAGTTTGACAGTGAGAAGCAGGCACCACAGTAGCGCTGCCTGCATTCTGTAAGCTAGCAGGTAGTTTGACAGTGAGAAGCAGACACTACAGTAGCACTGCCTGCATTCTGTAAGCTAGCAGGTAGTTTGACAGTGAGAAGCAGGCACTACAGTAGCACTGCCTGCATTCTGTAAGCTAGCAGGTAGTTTGACAGTGAGAAGCAGGCACTACAGTAGCGCTGCCTGCATTCTGTAAGCTAGCAGGTAGTTTGACAGTGAGAAGCAGGCACTACAGTAGCACTGCCTGCATTCTGTAAGCTAGCAGGTAGTTTGACAGTGAGAAGCAGGCACTACAGTAGCACTGCCTGCATTCTGTAAGCTAGCAGGTAGTTTGACAGTGAGAAGCAGGCACCACAGTAGCACTGCCTGCATTCTGTAAGCTAGCAGGGAGTTTGACAGTGAGAAGCAGGCACCACAGTAGCATTGCCTGCATTCTGTAAGCTAGCAGGTAGTTTGACAGTGAGAAGCAGGCACCACAGTAGCGCTACACTGCCTGCATTCTGTAAGCTAGCAGGTAGTTTGACAGTGAGAAGCAGGCACCACAGTAGCACTGCCTGCATTCTGTAAGCTAGCAGGTAGTTTGACAGTGAGAAGCAGGCACTACAGTAGCACTGCCTGCATTCTATAAGCTAGCAGGTAGTTTGACAGTGAGAAGCAGGCACCACAGCGCTGCCTGCATTCTTAAGCTACAGGTAGTTTGACAGTGAGAAGCAGGCACCACAGTAGCGCTACACTGCCTGCATTCTATAAGCTAGCAGGGAGTTTGACAGTGAGAAGCAGGCACCACAGTAGCCCTGCCTGCATTCTATAAGCTAGCAGGTAGTTTGACAGATTCTCAACAAGTAAACATTCAATATCCCAACAGGGGATTAAATGATCTATGATAAGGGAACTAAAACTTTAACTCCTATACATTAAACTCAGTGCACATGTACTGGCTTATGATCAGGTTATCATAACCTGAAGGAGAATGTTTCCAGCATCGACACAGTACAATATCTCAGTAAATTAGTTCTAGTCAATTGATATACTAATGAAAATAGAAACCTATAACTAATAGTTCCATAAAGTTGAAATATAAACTTAACTCTTTCAGTTCTGAATCAATAACCACAACAAAATAGTTTCTTATTTTGTATTTCATTTTATAAAATAGCAAAAATTCATAAAAAGAATATAGGTTTGCAAAAAAAAAAATTTTTTTCAGAGATAAAAAAAATCAAAAGTATACAATATTGATAAAGATTATTTTCAACTCCTGATTTTTCAAATCAAGTTCTCTTAATTGTCATATACCTTTTGTTACCATTTAACACTAAAATGTATGTTATCACAAGTTTTAATACTAAGTAAGAATGTCTCTGAATATTTCTATGTTAGTGGAGTTTACAAAATCTAATCTAAATGCAGGTGTAAAATGTTCTGCAAATTCTAATTTTCTATCTGAGTGGAGAACTAATGAAAATGAAAAAAATAACTAAAAAAAATAAATAAAAACAATTTCAGTTGTTGATGCCAAGTATACTTTGTTTCACTTTCTTAAACATTAAACAATGAATATGGCACTTATTATGTAATGTAGTAACAAGAGAACGGCATGCAGTATTAATGCTTGTCTGTACAGGGCAACCACTATCAATGACCAATTTCTATAAATATAACTTTAAAATGGGCATAACTTCTAAATGTATTCAATCCAGCACTTACAATCAACTAAAATTACCGACAACAAGTCAAAATATGCAAAAATAGCCCTTCCTGTGTTAGTCATGCAGTAGAAATATGTAATATATGCTGAAATTTGGTCATAAATTGCACAGAACATGTAAATTATTACTTCAATCTTAACCCTTTTTTTTCTTTTTTGAACATCTTAGTACATTTTTCTCTAGTTTGATTTTCTTAAAATATTTTGGCTCATTGGAAGCATGCAGGTTTAAAATTGTTTGAGTAATGGGCTACATTAAAGGTTTAAGCATGACAACAACACAACAATCATAGAAAAGCCTGACTTTTTCTTTGAAACAGACAAGCTAAAAATCAACTTTGGCACCACGGCTAACTTCATAACAAAATACAAAGAAAAGATATACTTTATATTACAAACAAAATATTATTAAAATATACAAAAATTCATCATTATTGTACTTTTTAAAATTTTTGTTTTGTTTTCCTTAAATCCAAAACTAACAAAATAACATAATGGCCTCTTTTCAACCTTAATTATCATATATACAAACAAGAGATTCTGTTGTAATCAAATAATGACTACTATTTTTTTAATAAAACATTATTTAATTAATTAAATTAGCAGACCAGCCAGAACTTTTTTATGGCAATGACATGTAGACATAATAAATTTTATACTTGATTTATTACAAAATTCATGGAATTATAAAAAGTCACAATGAGACATGCACAAGTTTGTTTGATCAAATCCAGTTTTTTATTAAGCCTAGCTGTAAATGAATGTACCAATGTGATCAGTACAGACCAACATCAACATCCCTGCCATCTTATCATCATCTCCACTGTTCACTATCAATCAATACTCGAAAATCTCCATCAAAATGATAAATGGTTTAGTTGAACAAGTCCATTTTAGATAGTTTATCATTAATCAAGAACAGTACTAATTAGAATACTCCTAAATAGGACAATTGAATCAAAAACCTATCAAAACATGTTTCGCTTTATTTAGCTTCCTCAGTTGATACTCCTAAATAAAAGTCATTTGTAAATTTCTTGATTAGTTTTGGTCAAATCAATTCAAAGCAATAGACAAACACTTTAAATTGAATCTAACAGTGGGTATTGTTACAACATATGTAAATTTCTTGTGTTCAGTAAAGCATAATGAACTAATGTGTAAATCATTTATCATAGCAAGCTACTCATTCTAGTCAGATATGCAACAGTATTTGACAGCAATACTATACTATAAGATCTGTGTATTACATATTCATTCACAAGTGCATAGATCAACAGATATCATTACTTTCATTTCAAAAATATGAATCTGAGAAAAAAAATCCAACTCAATAATTATATTTATTGAAAAGAACAATGTTACTTCTAGACAAAAAAATACTTATACGAAAGAGTTTGTTTAATATATTTTTGTATTGCAGAAATAATATGTATTGTTGGTTCAACATAACTTGTTAAGCCTTTTAGTATTGTTCATTAAAGGTAAGTACAAAAGTATTTAAGGAACAACTAACAAACTAATGAGCAAAGTCTTGTCACACTATACTCAGTTGCATAATTAGAGGTCATTGAGATACAATGGGTGTTTCTTTCCAATAAGATATACTAATAGAATACTATAAGAAAACAATAAATCACTTAAAAGCACAGAAGTGTAAACACAAAAATAACGTAAAATGGGTCATCCAAAAATAATATCTGATTCCTACTGTGTTTGACTCATTAACTTAGTTTTTTAGAAACTTCATCATTTTTTTGTTGTTGTTTTGTTTTTGAACCCAAAACAAACTGACAATGCAAAGACTTAATGTATACTATACTAAATCCCATTCTATTCAAATAAAATATAATGTATGTAAAAATTTCAAGTAAACAAACAAAGTTTACTATTCCACTAAAAAATGTAGTTAAAAATGTCTGTAATAATGCTAAAATATAAGCAAGAGAAAATACTGTTGTAAAAACACAGCTAGGGAGCATCTATTATTTATGGGAAGCCCCAATGATCACATGTAGAATGCAAGCACTATTGAAGTGTAAAATATACTGCATGAGGATACCATAATCCGGATTATAAAATCCTTAACTCCAAAAATGTATCACACTGATTATTGAACAGTTTATGTGCAGATTGAGCACCAATTCCATTCATACGGAAACAGTCTAGGTCATTTTTTAAAGTGACCTTGAATATTTCCCATCTCAACGAGCACAGCTCTAACTTTAGCCACAACACTGTCTCATCTTCTCTCTTGTCATCTTGGAAGAACACAAAACCTTCAAACAGGAAAATGAAAATTTCCATCCAGTTTCTATTTCTCACTCCAACATGACCACTTCCAAGTCTACAAACTATTTATGTTATATTTTTATTCTCTAACATTTTGTCTACAACTGCACTTTAACTAATTGCACTGAATGACTGTATAACTAGTCTACAACAGGCGTTTTTATATCCCTACATGGATGTTGTTGTATTTTTCAGAATTTCGGACAACCTTGAAGCACTGCAGGTAACACATCACAATAATATTGTGTAATCTCTATTTAGCGGAGGTATGTGACAACCAGCTCTTACCCACTGGCCATACAAGTCACTCACAACTTTTGGTATGTGACAACCTTATCTCTACGCACTGACCTACAGAGATTTTTGTCTCACAACGTCGGGTTTTCACTAACCTTTAACCACCCCGAGCTACAGTGCACACAGAAAGGCGAGCAATTACAAATACTGCGAATATCAGTGATAAGTATCATGTGTGATTGTGCCTCAGGAAGCTTTGTGCCGACCACCACAACAACCACATGAGACACCACACATGTGGCAGGCCTTTAAAGGCCAATAGCACCATAAACATGGAACAAATAACGATAAAACTGACAAAACTGTCCACTTTTTACAGTTTGACTCATCAGACGGGTCACAAATGCAAGGATGTCCATATTCCCCATCTGCGTCCGACATGCAGTGGTATATCAGACCTTTTGCACACCAAACACATGTTACAATTTCAATACATTTCTCTACATTGTCTGGGGCTTCCTCACAACTTCCCCTGTGATTATCCTCATGTGAGAATGTCTCATGGCAGTGTTTGCACCGGGCTTTTGTCAATAACCTTCCTGTTTGGGAAGTCTTGTGTTTATCTTTCTTTTTACTAGTTTTCATTGGGAGAGGGGGCTTCGGTTGCACCGTTATCTGTGCATGTTTCTTACTACATATTGCTTCTCTTTTAGAGGGCGGCTTTTGAACAGGTTCTAAATTTGGATAACTATATTCATGTGGTTGGCTTTTAGCAAAAATCACATAGGAATATTCTTTCAACTCCACATTGTCGGAGGACATTGAGTCTAAAAGTCCCTGATCAGATTTGCCACTTATAGAAGTTGGTTCATCAGCTTTAACCCAAATATCCCCTTGAGATTCTGAACTGTCTTTACTACTAGTACTTTTATCACTCTGCGGTGACGTGTGTTTGTGATGGCTGTTGTGTTGTGACGGGAAATAAAGAACACGATGGAGGTGTTTATTGTGTGAGTTATTATACATCATGTCTGGCACTGATGGTACATAAGAAGTTGGAGATTGTGGACTACTTGTTGTGGTTGATGTTGTACTTTGCGATGAGCTCCCTGTTCTCGAGATCGGTAACTCAAGCTCCTGAAATGGTTCAAAAAAGAGATTTTCAAGTTTTACTCTGCAATATTTCAAGCACAAAAATCCTTTATTATTCACAACCTTACTTTATGTTAAAAATAATACATGACTAAATTTAAATAAAATAAATTGTTTCATATAATTGTCAAATGACAAGTATTAAGGTGGAAAATGAAATTTGCCAACGATAAAATACATAATAAGGAAACCTCTAAATACCTCAAATCTACCAGTCTACTCTCTATATCTAAATTAATAAAGCAGATTTATAATATTTGTTTCCCGAACTTCTATTTTAGAAACCAACATCATTGCAGAAAGCTTAAAAGTGATATCATGCACTTTTCTAAAGTAAAATTACAGAATTACTTAGTTTGAAACAACACAGAATTGTTTTTCCCTCAGAAAATAAAAGCTTTAGGCAGCTTTAAATAATTAGAATAAAATGGAAGATAATTTTTTTTTTTTTAAATTAATCTCATTGTTACTCTATATCAGTCAAATTGTACAAAGGCTATCTTGCCACCCATCAGTATTTTGAATGGGTACTCTCCAATCAAGTAAACAATGTAATGTAATTTGCTTGTACAAACCTCAAACACTTCATCAATTTTACCATCTTCATAACCTGAAAGTAAAAAAATAATAATTTGAAAATATTCAGTACTGCAACAACATCAAAACTTCCTACATCAAACAAAACTAACTGCCAAGAACCAGAATATTCTGCCTTCATTGCATTAATTCATCTTACAACAACAAGTGGTTCAATCTCCTACGCAGTGATCTCCCCTTATCAGTACAGAGATCTCTGCCATCACAAACATTTAAATATCAATATTTTGATATTTTTTAGCTTTTTAATTTATTTTTCATTATTTTGTATACTTATGATATTTTTTTGATAAAATATAGCGGACGTAGGTGCGAAAAGTTAAAAATAAAACAGAAAGAGAAAAATGACATTAGATTTTCTATGTAACGGTCGATATTTACATATGAATTTCGACGTTACATCATGTGACTTTCATCATCATGTGATGTCTGTGAAGGCAGTGATTACAATTCTGCCAAGGGAGGTAATCACTGTGAGGAGTTTGCAAGCGGTTAACATTGTGGTATTTAGTATGAACAAATTTAAATTTAGTCTAAATTATACAAGCTTTGTTTTCCACTTAATAATTATAGTTTGTATTTTAAAATGATTTATGTATAACATGGTAACTATATCAAGCTGTTTGTAATGGTCTGTAGTAATGCTTATAATAAACCGCATAAGCTAGTCATCTCCCACTTATTAAGCACATCAGCAGAGCTCCAGATAAGCTTTTGACTAAAATAAAACTATCAACAAATAAAATGAAATGGCAGTATTTATAATAAAGTGAACAAGCAATTATCATAGTATTGCAAGCAATCCATAAGTCCCCTACCGGCTAGAACCCCATCAACATTCTGAAGGGCCATTCACTAATGTTTCAAGTTTTCTCTATTTTAAGTAATTTGTTGGAAAAGTTCTTTAAAAGTGATCACAGGAAACAGTTTTTATGAACAGACAGACAGACGGACTGAAGGACACTCTACAGTTAATATTTGAAACATCCCTGTTACCAAAATATAACATTTTAAAAGCAAAATTCTTAAACAGGAGATAACTCTTGAATTAAAGATGCAATTTCAAAAAAAAAATTCAGCTCTTTTTGACTTATCACAAATATTGTTATATTTGCCATGATTTAAGCCTATTTGTTGCCAAGGAAACTGATATTTTTTCAAAATAGGAAGAACAGATAACACATGCATAATCTCAAGACCGCCATCTACCCATATGTCAAGTTTCATAAAAATATTTCCAGTACTTTTTGAGTTATCACTGGATTCAGTTTATGTGTAAAATTTGCCATATTTTCAGTCTATGTGTTGCCATAGCAACCAGAATTTTCAACATAGGAAGAAAAGAAAAAGACGTGCATAATCTCAAGACTGCCATCTACCCATATGTCAAGTTTCATAAAAATATTTCCAGTTCTTTTTGCTTTATCACTGGATCCAGTTTATGTGTAAAATTTGCCATATTTTCAGCCTATTTGTTGCCATAGCAACCAGAATTTTCAATATAGGAAGAAAAGAAAAAGACGTGCATAATCTCAAGACTGCCATCTACCCATATGTCAAGTTGCATAAAAATATTTCCAGTACTTTTTGCGTTATCACTGGATCCAGTTTATGTGTAAAATTTGTCATATTTTCAGCCTATTTGTTGCCATAGCAACCAGAATTTTCAACATAGGAAGAAAAGAAAAAGACGTGCATAATCTCCATACTGCCATCTATCCATATACCAAGTTTCATAAAAATATTTTCAGTACTTTTTGCTTTATCACTGGATCCAGTTTATGTGTAAAATTTGCAATATTTTCAGCCTATTTGTTGCCATAGCAACCAGAATTTTCAATATAGGAAAAAAAGAAAAAGACGTGCATAATCTCAAGACTGCCATCTACCCATATGTCAAGTTTCATAAAAATATTTCCAGTACTTTTTGCGTTATCACTGGATCCAGTTTATGTGTAAAATTTGCCATATTTTCAGCCTATTTGTTGCCATAGCAACCAGAATTTTCAAAATAGGAAGAAAAGAAAAAGACGTGCATAATCTCCATACTGCCATCTATCCATATACCAAGTTTCATAAAAATATTTTCAGTACTTTTCAAGTTATCGCGGGATCCAGTTTTGTGGACGGACGGACTGACGGACTGACAGACGGACAGACGGACGGACGGACAGACGGACGGACGGACAGACGGACGGAGGGTAAACCTAAAGTCCCCTCCGGTAAACCGGTAGGGGACTAATTAAAGTATACCCAAAGAGTTTTGTTTTTGGAAGGGTATTTGAAATTTTCGAACTTGAGGAAAGGGTTTCCAATGTCAAAACAGATATATGTTATTTTTATACATAACAACAATAAACATACTAAATATGATATTTTTATGTTTAGAATGTTTACTAAAACCAGCCACTTAAAGAAGTATACATAGTAGGGGTGTAACAATACAGCAAAAACCGTATTGCAATATATTGCCATTTTGCTGAAGCGTATTGCGATATATTGCAATACGTATTGTCGTGTATATGTTTTGATGTAAAGATGGAGTAACATTTATATATTATTATTATATGTATATATTTTTAGTAGAAACTTAATAAAAATGTAAGGAATAAATAGAAAGTAGTGTCACACAATTTGATAAACAAAACTAGTCGCGTGTGACCTTTCACATATGGGCCGCTTATGTAAATTATGCGGCCGCTTATTGACTTTTAAGTGTACTAGTTGTCAGATACTTTTATCTTACGTTGGCGCCAACAAACTTTGCCAATTAAAGATTTTATGTGAAATTTGTACAAAATTAGAAGGCAATTAATTGAAAATGATGATTTTTATAAAATACCGGTTTTCCAAAAATCGTACCGCGGTTCAAAATTTATTTTTTCATATTGCAATATATCGGTATACCGGTAAACCGTTACACCCTTAATACATAGAGGATATTAAATGAGTGTAGGTATAATACTAAATTTATTGAACAAGTTGAATCTACACGAATATGATACTCTATTTATCACATATATAAAATAAGAAAAGTTTACTGTTAAAAGAGTCAATTATTACATTGATACGTCTATAGTGTAACACTAATATTAGCACACTTTAACGCTATGAATACATATAATGCAAATTACATCACGTCAAAGTGTTATTACACTAGTGTAATAATTTTTTTATTCAATGGCTTCATATTACACTCGTGCGCCACAGCGGTTTATGTGATAAATGTACATAGTATGCATGTACATGATCAAACCCTTTTTTTTATAAATAAATTATTTTCAATCAAACAACAAAAGAAAGTGTGTCTTTTTTTAATTTCATCCATATATACTTTAATTAATAATTATATAGACTGCCTGTGTTTTAGATGATTGTTTACTCTTTCTTACTTTAAATTAATTACACCAGTTACACACGGTTTATCAAGTTGAATGCATAACCAATATTTTTAAAGGGTATTGGTATGCACAGAGTTCAGCACTTATGTGTATTTCATAATTTTGAATGCCTAAATACTTGTCTTATCTGGAGCTCTGTGAAACATGTCCTCACAACATTAAGCCATTAAATACCACACAGTTGTACAAATATCATGTCTTAAAACCTTTTTTGGAACTATAAGTGATAAAACTTTGCCACCATTATAGAGCCAGACCAGCCTGTAATCATGTGCAGTCTGACCAGGCTCTTTACTGATGGTAGCTCAAATATTGAATTTTGATAATATTGAAATCCCTTAAAACTTTGAACTGATTGCTCTGTAAATCAAATCAAGCAGGTTAAAAAACAAGAGCCACCGCCCGGCCGAAGCAACGTTCGACTTTTGTATTTTTTCTAAAAGCAAACAAATAAAACAATCTTTAAAAAGAAAAGTGAAGAAAAAATAAGATTTTCATTTTTTTAGTCTAATCACACTTGTCATTTTGTCAAAGTATGAATCCTTTCCATAAATAAATAACAAAGTAAAGAAAATATAATAAAACTTTAATAATTTGATAGTCAAGGTCATATAAAGGTCAAAATCAGTCAAACCTTTTACTGCACCGTGTATTTTAAACAAGAGCTGTCGGTAGGACAGCAACGCTCGACTATTCTTAGTGCTTGATAGTAAAAAAAATGCTTGATACAGTTACCTCCTCCTGTTTACAGGTTGGGGTCATGATGGTGAACAAGTGTGCAAAGTTTCAAAGCCATATGTCAATGGACTTTGAAAATATTTGAACTATTACAAAAACTTTAACGTAAATTCCAAGTCGAAAAAGGGGCTTAATTCTGTCAAAATGCTTGATAGAGTTACCTCCTACTGTTTACAGATTGGGGTCATGATGTTGAACAAGTGTGCAAAGTTTCAAAGCCATATGTCAATGGACTTTGAAAATATTTGAACTATTACAAAAACTTTAACGTAAATTCTAAGTCGAAAAAGGGGCATAATTCTGTCAAAATGCTTGATAGAGTTACCTCCTCCTGTCTACAGGTTGGGGTCATGATGGTGAACAAGTGTGCAAAGTTTCAAAGCCATATGTCAATGGACTTTGAAAATATTTGAACTATTACAAAAACTTTAACGTAAATTCTAAGTCGAACAAGAGCTGTCGGTAGGACAGCAACGCTCGACTATTCTTAGTGCTTGATAGTAAAAAAAAATGCTTGATACAATTACCTCCTCCTGTTTACAGGTTGGGGTAATGATGGTGAACAAGTGTGCAAAGTTTCAAAGCCATATGTCAATGGACTTTGAAAATATTTGAACTATTACAAAAACTTTAACGTAAATTCTAAGTCGAAAAAGGGGCATAATTCTGTCAAAATGCTTAATACAGTTACCTCCTCCTGTTTACAGGTTAGGGTCATGATGGTGAACAAGTATGCAAAGTTTCAAAGCCATATGTCAATGGACTTTGAAAATATTTGAACTATTACAAAAACTTTAACGTAAATTCTAAGTCGAAAAAGGGGCATAATTCTGTCAAAATGCTTGATACAGTTACCTCCTCCTGTCTACAGGTT